ATCACTGTCCTGTAAGCATCACTGGTGTGCAGGACCAAAGACCATCTCTGGAATCTGGCTGCAAGAAAGCCTTGGAATTGAACTTTTTCTCTTTTCAACTGATGTGTTTGTTTCTGTGTAGCTCTTAGCAGACAAGTTCTCAACATTTACACAGGCCAGTCCTACCAGTTTCATGCTGTAAATGTAGTTGTGTGTGTGCATGTATATGTGTGTGTGTGTGTGTGTGTGTGTGCATGCGTGTGTGTGTGGTGGGAGAAGTTGTAGCTTTTCAATGGTCCCTGTTCAATGCTCTCCATCCAATTAATGCCACACTTCCTCCCATGGGCACTAGTGATGAGTTACGAGTACAGGGTACACAATGTGGCAACACTCACATTTGTTTCTCTAAGTCAGTGACGGTTTGCTCACACTCTCATCTCACTAGCCAAAGCCCTCAAACAGCCCACCAACCTTTAAAGGGAAAGGGTGAGGTTCGATTAGAAGGGTGCACCCTTGTTGCTCAGCTGGGATGGATGACACTCCTCCATGACCATATTTTTCTTCCATGTGCTGAAGATACTGATAAAAATTTCACTTACAATGTCTTCTGGGGAGACTTCCGGTCTGGGCCCGAGCATAGAGCAGGTCACAGGCAGCAGCTCTGTACCCAACCGCAGAAAACCGACAGAAAGAGGGACTCCCAGGAGCTTGAACTCAGGCAGCATCCCAGGTAAAAATGAATCACCCATGATGTCTGCTGTTAGAAGTTCTAATCCAGATACTGGCCTCCGAACTTATACTACTCAGACCTTTGAAGGGCCACTGACAAGAACATCAAACAGCTAGAGATTGACATCACTAATCTGAAGAAATCCCTCGTTTCGCTGTCTGAAGAGACCTCCTAAAATCGAAAAGATCCTTATTGGACTTGATTTACTCTATTACAATAGAAATAGCTCTTGACTGTGTACAGCCCTTAAAGAACAAGGTTGCCTTTACATAGACAGACAAGGAAGGTTAAAGAGAGCATGAAGTAGGTAGTGAAGGCCCTAAGAAAAATCAGAGAAAGAGACAGATGAATGCTGGTACAAGAATTGGTTTTCAGCCTCTCCAAGGTTGTCAACCCTATTTCCTCCCATCTTGGGACCATTATTTGGGTGCTTTTTGCTTTTTTCTGCTGGTCCCTGGCCCTCAAATAGGTGGACTAACTCTGTGATACAACAGATAAATAATTTGGTAGCAAAACCTACTCAGATACATTATCATAAGTTAGCTATGGAGGACCACGAGACTCAAGATGAGGTTGTTACTTTATACAGGGTGTTTCCAAAACCCATCTCCACCCATACTAAAAGGGGGGACTTCTGCCCCTAGACCAAGCAGAGAGGGGCCACCCAGAACCCCCTCTGACAGGCGATCTGAATTCTTGGTTAGGCTGTGAGGCTAAGCACTGCAAGGGAATATAAATAAAAGATAAAAATATCTATCTGGGTTCCCTGAGGGACAAGCCTGACTGCATAGGGGTTGATGTCAAAATTATCCCCTCTCCAGGAAAAAGACATCGGGACGGGTATGGCCCTCATGCATCACTGGACAATGACAGGGGGACTGGAGCCATTACAAGGTCCTCTTCAAATACTGGAGGTCAGGCCTCTATCCCCGCCTTCACAAATTTAGAATTGCCACAGCCCTTCTATATTTAGAGAAGGGAGGAGATGTCAGGGGCAGCCCTGCTTACACATTAAAGGTCTAAAATCAGCCATAGGCCTAAAATTAGCAATAGGCCAGTCATACACGTATACTAACACCAAGTCTTGGGTCTCTGTGGATAAACACTGAAACAGATGGGTATAAGCTAATGTAAACAGGCAGCTTTTGTGGAAAGTTACAAGCCTGAGTAGTCATAGACCTTGTAAATAGGTAGCCTTGGCAGACAATACCAACTTAGATAAGGACAAGTGAGTCATAGGCAGAGTCATAGTGAATTGTCCCCTGAACCTTCACCCAGCTGATACCTGGTTCTGAAGATATCTGTATTCCCTCTGAACACCCACACTCCATTGTCATTCTCTTCCCCACATCCTGCCTTTCTGTGTTTATAACCCCTGTGTGAATGAATTACGATTTGAGAAAAAATAAATTATTAAAAAAAAATGTCTTCTGGGGAAAAAAAAAAGCTAGCACAGTTCCCAGAGGCAAAATTCTAATCATGCCTTGGAGTCTTTCTAAGTCTGCTATGATTTGTTGGGCTACAAACACTGTCTGAGTTTGTATAAAAATTTTGACTATCATTCTTGCATTTAGGAGGGAAGGAGAGGCCCAAAAGCCTTCAGTTTTTTCTGCATTCTTGGTAAGCATTTCCAAAGAAGGACTGAGTTCCTGGATTTCATTAGAATACTGTGTGAGCAGGATCTAAAAATCACTGCCTGAACCCGACCGCAACGACATCTGGGAAATGTAGTTTCTCTTTTCAATGATACACCTGCCCCTGGGTAAGTCTAGGGACCCATGCCGATGCCCAATTCCCTATACTTCTCAAGTGTCCTACCCTTTCTGGATATTTTCTGTGACTTCCATTTTTGTTCTGCTTGAAGTTATTTCTGACTCTTTCGCGTCCTCATGTTGTCTGTATCTGCCCCCAACACTCCCACTTTGTACTGTCAGTGTTTTATGAATACTTCATTCCTCCACCAGGATGTGAGCTTTCTGACACTTTAGGAAGTTGGTTTGATACATCTAAAACTAGAGTAGACTTTAGTATTTCTGAATGGGTCAAAGAATAAATCTCCATGGTTTCCCTAAGAGTCTTTTTGTGGGAAATGCTTAAGATCTCTTAAGTGAAAGATGGTACACGGAGAGACGGTCAGACTATAGAATAGTTTAGATGTGTACAGAGGCCAGTTGGCATCTCATAGGGAGAATGAAAAACTTATTCTCCCCTAGAGAGATCTTGATAGAAAAATTCTCACATCCTAGATCTTAGAACAGAAGGAGCCAAATGGGAGTAGGGATGACTCAGAGAAATGCTAGTCTGCATCAGAGGCCCACACCCTGCCGTGGTGAGCAGTTCACCTAGACGCACGTGTACATCAATATTTTGATCAGGATTTAACTCTTTGGTAAAGCTTCACGGGGTCAGGCTTGTGGGATGTTTCTGCTTCACTGATGATCTTCATGGCCTAGGCTGATCATGTGGGAGAAAGGAACAGTAGAGTATTTTGGAAATGCAATGGCCACCATATGTCTTTGCTTTTCATGGGAGATATGTCCATGGTTGAGGCGTGGGATCATTGCAAATCCTCCGGTCCTGCAAGGAGTCAGCCAAGGCACAATAGCTAGAGCCAGAGGAGCACTACCCATGCTAGAATAACCCATAGTTTTCATCCCCCAAGCACATACACATTGAGATGAGCCCCAAGCACAGCCTCCTCCTTCCAGATGGCAGAAGGAGAAGAAATGTGGAATTCTTATACCTGCTGAATCCTTCTGGGTGGTCTTGAAGACAAGATGGGGAGACAAGGAGATAGAGAAGGGCAGAAATGTAGTATGAGCATCATCCACTATCACATGAGACACACACATATCCTCCTTTCATATGAACTAAAGAAGACATGATCTACTATTTTATTTTACCTCTGGCTCAACACAAAGTACAGGGAAATGGGTCCTCTGCTGGGTTACCTTGGGGCTGTCTCATGAGTTCAGATCTCTCTGTCTTGCTCTTCCTCTACTATTGACTCAGAGAAATGTAAGTTTGATGAAGTGAACATCTCCACGTAAGCAAAGCAGGAAACAGTGGCCATTGTAGCTTCATGTAAGCTGGCCACTAGATAGGATCACTAGTCCAGCAGAAGGTGCTGCAGTGATGATCTTTGAGTGGATGAGCTACTGTCTTCCAAAGTTCCCACTAGGCATGCTGTGTCAGAATCCAGTGCTATACAATGACACTCAGTCTCCAAAAGAGTACCAAAGGGTAAATATGTTGTATTAACATGAATCCTAATGACAAACACACTGCAATTATAAGCACATTGTAGATACACAGAACAGTTGATACAGTCTGAACATAGATACAAAATAAGTTATACTTGCTTTGTTTTCCATCACAGTAGGAGTGTAGCTGACAGCCACTGCATCAGTGGCCATGGAGCAAGCCAGGGGGAGACCGTGGAGGAGGATGGAGGGCACTGAGAATGATGGGAATTTTTGCCAAGGAAGCCAGAGTCCCTGGAACTCTATAGAGAATAAGGTCCCAGTCCTCTCAAGATGGCCTTCTGTGAATTATCATGAAGTCCTGTTTTGTGAAAGCCTGTGGCTGAATGAGCTGGGATGCTTCAGGTTAATGAATGGGGGGCTGAGCAGAAACAGGCACAGACAATATCTAGCGGGCTAGTCCACTCTCCTGATGGCGGGGTTGGACTTTTGTGATGTTGTGATCACGAGGCACAGGCCAGAAGGCACAGTTTGCTTCTACAAGGTGACAGATGGCCAGATTGACGGCCCAGCAAAGGCTGGCAAGCCTTCTTCCCTTGCTTGGATGCTCTGGGAGGCTGTGTGAGGGGCTGTGTGTTCAGACTGTCCTGTGGTTTGTCACCACGTAGTAATACTGAGATCTTTCATCCATCACAGAACTGAGGCAAATAGAGGGGTCTCAAATTCTGGATTTAAACCTTCTCTCCTTGTGACTTCCAGGAGTTTGGGAAGGTACCTACCCCAAACTACTCTGAGTCTTTGGCTTCTCACCTGGAAAATGCAGTAACAGGAGGGAAGCATACTTGGCCTAGGGCATTCGTGAAGGCCACAGGGATTAAAACATATAAAGTGTCTAACCTGCTCCTGACACGCAGAATTGACTTGGTATGTATAAGGAAACTGAGTATCCAGAGACACTAGACTGGGAGTGGGGGTGGGGCGGCAATAAACCCATGAACTACAAATGCCCTGTTCAAGAAGACCACAGGGCAGCTTCCTTGTGCTTTCCTACCAAATTGTTCTTTTTCTCTTCCCATTTGGGAGTCTTTGACACAACGCAGCAGGCAGAATTCAAGGTCCAAGTGTCTTTTCAAGTGTGGTACAGTGTCCTATGGAGGTTTCTCAGTTTGATCATCCTCTCTTAGCTTCTCCTTTCCCTCACAGCTCCCAGCCCCTGAGTAAATTTCTACTTAGGAAGCCACAGAGGAAAAATAAAAGCATAGAAAATGAAGTGAATTGTCTATTCCATAAAAAGCCTTTCCCATCTGCTCAGAGCCTAGATGTGGAGGCACTGGGGATAGAGTGGGCGGCCATCTGCATTAACTGCCTCATGTCTTTGGGGGAATGGGAGATGGAGGGAAAGTTTGGACACATGCCTGTGTCCTAAGACAGAGAAGGTAAAGCTGCCCTTCTACCAACCCTGGGAACTTGGAGAGGTGCTCAAAGAGAGATGAACCCTTCTCATTTATAGTGTGACTGTCAAGTTTTGCACGTGTGTGTGTGTGCATGTGTGTTTGTGTGTATATGTGCGTGTGTGTCTGTGTGTGTGTGTGTGGTCATCATGTCTATCCTCTCTTCTGACACTATCTGAAGTTACCTGGCACTCTCACTCAGATACTTTCCTCTTAGATGGAGGGAGAAGGTGGGCAGGGAGCTCATTGGGCAGCTCGTGCCCCTCTAGCTTGACTTTGATAAGGTGGTTGGCCAGGGCAAACTCCTCATCATCCAACATGCCATCCTTGTCAATGTCGGCTAGCTTCCAGATCTTGCCCAGCACGCTGTTGGGCAATTTGGAGCGCACCATCTCCTTTTTGGCATTGGCACCTGTGATCTTGCCATCCACTGGGGATAAGGTGTAGAAGATCTCATCATACATAGGCTTGTCCCGGGCTACCACCCACTCGGCATCATCAATGCCCTCCCCAGCTCCCTCGCCATAGCCATGCCCAAAGGGGCCTTGCAGAGTTCCCTCAAATGCTCCGCCCTTCACCATCTGGACAGGCCGCTGGGTCTCTTCCTGGCGCACCAGCACCATGAGCTGGGCAATGTCATGGGCCAGCATGTCATCTACCACTTCCAGCAGCTTGCTCTTCAGTGGTTGAAATTTGCTGAAGTCCTGGGCCTGCAGCTGGTCCTGGGAAGAGAAAGGAAAAGGATGAAGCAGAATACAATGGAAGGATATGCTCTTATCAGGGAAAGAGCCTCCTATTAAAGATAGAAGCCTTGCCCAATTATCTTTCTAGTGAAAGCAGTTAGGCCAACAGGTTGTGGCAGGGGAGGAAGCAAGGACCCAGTGGGCTAAGGATAGGTCTTTTATGAAAGAACAGAACAAGATCTGGGGCCAGGGAACAAAGAAAACTAGTGTTGGTTTGTTGATTGACATCTCTTTAAATATTGTTACAACTGGAACTCAGACATTTCTTCCAAAGTTAGGTTTTTCTGTTAAATGGTGAGCCTTGAAGGTGGTGGACCTCTGACATGGAGTCTTGTGGGTCTCCAGGAAAGCTTATGCTTGAAAAATACACAGCGAAGTGCTTTTGATACCTCCCTACATACTGTTCTCGGTACTCTTGGAGGTAGAAAAGTCATACACTAGTCACAGTTAGTGAGAGGGCCAGAGTCATGGGGATGAGAAATAAAGCAACTAAAACCACAACAAAAGCCAAAGGTCATTCCTAACCTTACAGCTCTCAATCAGGATTCTCAGTGGAATTGCCTGGCTATCCATAGACTAGACCCCTATCGAGAATTTGGACCTAGTAGGCACCGGCAGGTATGTAGACTTTATGAAAGCTGTCCCCTTTGCCCTCACATGACCACCACCCACATCATAAAAGAAGGATTCTCTACTTTGAAAAATCTTTGCATTCTTGAAAGACCCTCTGTTGCAGGATTTTTTCTGCCCACTGTATTTGCAGTGGAGCTTTGTGATTGGGCAGTAGAAGAGGTAGGTGGAGCTAGGAGTTGGGAGGAGGAAGGAAGGAGGAAGGAAGAAGGAGGAGAAGGAGGAGAAGCAAGATGGAGGCAGACATACATGTCTCTAGGTATCTTGGGTAGTTATTCATGTCAAAAGTTTAGATATTGGGTTAAGAATTCTAATTGTGTGGGCATCTTGGGTATTGAACATTTGCTAATATGTAAGTCCATTGGATAATCTTAAGAATCAAGAGTCTTATTTCTACTGGGTACCGTGAGGATGGCAGTTATTGTCTGAGGTTGAGCTGAGCACTATGAGGGTGGCTGAGCTGGCCCAAGAGCCATGCTTAGAGCCATGGACTTCATAGAGCTGACTGGCAGAGGCAACAGCCACGCCAATGTCTCGAGAGTTCTGGGCCAGTGTTCCTGGCTAGCCAGTGCCGTTTAGTGCGTGAATTTAGAGCAGGAACATGGCCAGGCCAGGAGCTAGCCGAGCCCATCACCTCTTCTAACATCTCCTGCTATAACCCTCAACCTAGAACATCCAATTTCTCCTTGCTTCTAGAACAGTGGTTCTCAACCTTCCTAATGCTGTGACCTTTTAACACAGTTCCTCATGTTGTGGTGACCCCCAACCATAAAATTATTTTTGTTGCTATTCGCAACTATAATTTTGCTACTGTTATGAATCATAAGGTAAATAACATGTTTTTCAATAGTTTTAGTCAACCCCTGTGAAACCTCAAGGTTATATGACCTATGGGTCATAACCCATAGGTTGAGAACCACTGTTCTAGAAGGCCATAGATGCCAACTGCTGCCCTGGTCTGGCCACAGTAATCTCATTATGTAGGAAAGAAGTCTCTAAACAGGGATGGGCACAGCTGAAAATTTAAAGGCTATTTAGAGCTACAATTCAGAGGCAAGTGCTGGCAGGAAGCTTCTCACCTCTCTACAGATGGGTCATGAAGAATGCTGTGGAGAGCAGAGCAAGACTCTAGACTAAGGGCCTTGCAGACAAGATAATTCATTTGGTTCCCAACAGTTGTGTACAAGAACCTTTTACAGCTCCTGTTTATTGATGCCAGGAAGGCTCTGCATGTATCTCATGTCTAATGGCATGGTGGCTTCTTGCTTGAATTCTGAGGACAGTTCCTATATGAGGCTTATGTGAATGCGTTTCTGGGAAAATGCTAAGACCTCAGCTGAGACTTGTATAAAAGTCAGATAAAAACACTCTCTCTGAGAATGACTTTGGGGAAAGGACACATCCCCCCACCCCCAAACACACAATCCCAAGTGGTATCCCTAGGTTTAAGGGCTTACAACATACTCCAAAGATACTGTGTGCCACAGACTGTCCCCAGGGAGTTCAGAGGTAAACTTAAGCACTTAAGGGTCTATAGCATTATCCTGGAGATGGTGAAGATGTTGAACATGTGGCCTTCAAATAGGTAAGGTCTTCAGTGTTGTCAAACACACCTGTGCCCTTGGGGACAACTGGGCTGTTTCTCTCCAGGCTTGGCTATGGCATTTGCTGTAAGTGATCATGTCTAATGCCACCTCCTTCCTTGCCTTATGACTCTGGCTTCTCCCAGGAGCTCTGTCAGCTCCTTCATTCCCTGGCAGCCAGCTAGAAAGATGCTGTCTCCCAACTGTAGGGTCCCTGACCCTCATTACCTGCATCCTCTTCAGGTTGGGGAAGTCCCCAGGAGAGATTTGGTGTTCTCGCTCAATCCGGCCATAGATCTCAGCCAGGTTGTTCACCAGTTCTTTCTTTTTGGTGTCCTTCCCAAACACTGAGGGCATCTCCTTCTTCAGGGAGCTGATGATATAAGCATGGACCTGACAAAGAGGGACAGAGGACAACCTCAGCAGGAGCCTGAACTGGCCCTTCGAGTCCCACCTCCTGACCCTGCTTCCGAAACCATTTCTTTCATCCCTCACAGTACCAGGCTAGCATGCTGAGAATATGGAGAGTGAAGGTCACAGTGGAGGGGGTGAGAACCCTGCTGTTGTAGACACTGACAATGGCAGCTTCTGAACACTAAGGTATCTGGTACAGTGACAAGGGCTTTCATACTCTGTCCCTCTTCATCCTCCACCAGTCCATTCAGTTTACAAACGGAGAAAACAACACAGAGAAAGTACAACAGAGCGTAGCCCTCCTAGGGATCACTGAGGTAGGTGGTCATGGAGCCAAGCTCCAACCTGGCCATCTAATCCAGAGCCAACAACCATAACTCTCCTATCTAAGGGACCTCAGTTCTTACAACTGCTCTCTACTTTTGAACCTGTCTCCATTGCATGAACTTGCAGCAGCCTTACCTTGGCCAGCCGGGCTCTCTTGATGAGGTCATTGAGCTTCCGAAGAGCAGCGTTACGGGGTAGACTCTGAATGTCTCTGAACAAGTCTTGCTCTTCAGCTTCAAAGAGCTTCCGGTTGTCAGGAATGAGGAGAGGGTGGGACCAGAAGGAGCCAATGTAGACCCGGATCACCTCTGGTGTGTTCACGATCTTCCCCAGGGACCACATGAGGGCCCCATACACCCGCATCAGCTGTTGGGTCTCAATCTGGTCAGCCTTGTTCAACACTACTCGCATCTTGTCCTCATGGTTCTTGAGAGCCTTGATGACTTCTGAGAACTCATCAGAGATGTCCAGCTTGTGGGCGTCGAAAAGCAGGATAATTCGGTCCACCCGCTCAGCAAACCATTCGAGGACAGCAGCAAAATCATACCCTGTGGCGGAGTGATAGTCAGTGGGAGGAGCTTTGGGGCATGGAAGTGTAGTGAAGGGTCCCATGTAAGATAACGCAGTCTTAAAAATTGTCTCTGGGTTCACATCCTGGCTTCTCCCATTTGACTGTTTGACCTTGAGCAAATTACTGTGGTGTGTGTGTGCGTGTGTGTGTTTGTGTTGTAGTAGGAATCAAACACAGGGCCTCATGCATACTGCCTAATTGTTCTTCCACTGAGTTATATCCCCAGGCCTCCTTACCATTTTCCATCTATAGATGATCATTAGGAAGAATCTGGCTTGTAGGATGATGGAGAAGCTCAGGAAATGTTGGACTCTATCATAAGCATTGCTACTCCCATAAAGGGTGGCCCCTATGCATTTATTAAAGTTAGGGGTCAGGGATCCTGATGGGAAAAGAACTCTGGACATTATTTTCATGCTGACATTTTGAGATTGGATCTTACTGTCTTGCAGTATCCCACATTGGCCTTGAGCATTCTCTATAGGCAAATTTAGCCTTGAACTTGAGATCCTCCTGCCTCAGCCTCTAAAGTGCTGAGGTTCCAGGTGTATATTATCATGACCCATTTGGATACTTGTTTTGAATTTGGATAAAGACTCAGAAATTCTTCACAAGGTATAAGGAACAAAACAGAAGATGCAGGTTACTGATGCATGTTCAGACTATGCCCATCTCTGGTTGGGAAGAAGTCTCAGTTCTTGATACAGACTCAAGTGACTTACTCTCCTATAGCTCCCAAGATCACTTCCTTCCTCAACTGCTGCAGCCTCACCCAAATTCCCAACTCCTATTCTGTATGGGAGTCCTTCCTGAGGATATGACTGGACCTCTGACACCTTGTTATCCAGAACTGAGCTACTTCAAATCCAGCTTGTTCCAGGAACTTTGGAACTCCTGTTTCACTCAGTGGCAAGCAACTGCAGATCTGGGAGAGGAAAAAGTTATCCTGGTTTGGTTATGCAGTGGTCTTCGAAAGGCTCTTATTAGGGGCTTGATTGTCAGCTGGTGGGCTTCTGGGAAGTGAATGGATTATGAGGGCTCTGAGATAACCTCTGGATTAACTCCTTGGTGGATTTGTAATACCAAGGGAATTATTGGGAGACAGGGGCTATGTGAAGGAATGGGTCACGGAGGTGGGTGAGTTGGGAGCAACTTTGGAAAAGCAGACTTTTATTCCAAGCCCTTCTTTTTCTGCTTTCTGGTCCCTCAAAGTTTAGCAACATCACTCTGCCATGCTCCAATATCTTGATGTTCTATTCTTACCAAAGCCCAGAAACAGAGAAGCCAGGATATCATGGACCACAAGACAGACCTGACCTTTCTTCTTTTTAAGTTATTAGCCTTAGATGCTTGTTACAGTGATGAAAAGCCAACCATAGAAGGAGAGGTTATCCCTGAAACTCACCAAATAGACTATGAGGACTGTCCAGAAAGCCACAGGAATCTACCTGTCTCAGCTTCCTCAGTGCCAGAATTATAAGGGGACACAAATGCTTCTAAGTCCAGCTTTTTATTATATGGGCCATGGGGCTCAGACTCAGGTCCTCATGTTACAAACTGAGCTCTATCTCCCTAATAGTGGGTACACATTACCCTCATATAATTAAGGAATCTCTCCACAGCCAACCTGAACAAACCTGCCTTATGCTTCTCCATCTCTCCTGTACCCACGGTACACATGGCAGGTACTCCATCAGCATATGCTGCACACAGTTGACATAGAATCCTGTTCTGCCTTTTACATCCAGGAAGCACTTATCAGGTCACCTCTGGACCTTTACTTTTCCAGTCTCTAAACTCGGACCCACCAACGCCTTGACCACAGGGTTGTGAAGATCAAGTCTAAGATGAGAGGCTGACAAGTCTCTCATCTTTTACTAAGGATCTTGGCCAAATGCCCAGCCCCTTCATAAAGAACTCCTCATGTGTTCCCAGAGGATGAAGCTTGCTTGGCACGGCTGTGTCTCTGTAGGAACACTGGCCTGGGTAGGTTCCCTGTAGTTTCTGCTTAGTTTATTAACTTGATATGCTGGGCAATAGAATCCCCTTGCTTATCCTTGATCTCTGCTTCTGGGATGGATGACCTTTGAACTCTTTTTCTTGGTTTACAGTTCTCTGCTTCCAGGCCCAGAGGTGTGAGGACAGAGAATGCAGTAACATGGAGATGAGACAGAAAGAGGGAGAATTGCTGGAGGCTGCTTCCTCTGGGACCCTGGGCGTGCCTATAGGAAGTCTGCTGGGGTCTGCTGACAAAGGGATGGCTTCCAGGAACCTTTCCCATGATGCAATAAACACAGAGGCGGCTTATTAGGCCTCCTACTTTTGCAAACTCTGCAAACTCTGGTAAACTGCTATCAAATGACAAGCAGTGAGGAGGTGTGTGGTGGGGAAGACAGTGAGGCTGAAGTCCTGGCTCTGCCAACCCTCCTAGTTCTTGGTTACTCCAGGGCTCTTGGTTACCCCAGGGCCTGAGTGATCTCTAGGATGAATCTTAAGTTGCTTCCATAGCCTGGACTTATGTGTACGCCTAGAAATAAAGGCATGGGAAAGGCAAAGACTGGGCATAATCAGGAGAGGAATACAGGATAACCGTTTTCATTTGTTTTCTGAATGGCCTTCTGCAAGTCTGAATGTCTTTTACTTGTCTGAATGCAGAGCCCATGATGTAGCCATGGAAAGCATACCTGACATTAGGAGGAGAGAGCTCAGTCTGAACGGAGACTGCAGAATATGTACAGCCTGACCAAGGTGACTACCAGATGGCCATATCCCTAGGTGACTACCAGATGGCCATATCCCTTGATCTCAGGAATGGCTCTGAGACTCTCAGTAACTATGCCTGAATACACGCAATCGCTTGTAGTCTCTGAATCAGTGGGTGGAGAGACAGAATACAGAAGTGGTCCTTCCTGGTTTCTTCTGAGAATGTCTGCTGGTACCCAGGGATCCAGCGGATAGGCTCCAGGCCAGTGTCTGGGAAGCCTGCGGGGATCTGTAGCCCCCACCCTCAGGCTGCAGGGCCGGGAAGAAAGCATTTCTAATTAATGCCAGGCAGGAGGAAATCAATGAGACAAACTCAATAAGGGAAGGCCTCTCCTTAATCACCCAGTGCTCCCCTCGCTGTCTGACAGTGTGTCATTCTTTGCATTTTCAGTTTCGAAACCGACCTCAGTGGATTCTTCCTGCTCCCCATCACCCAGAGTGAACAGGATGCTTGTGGTGGCCATATAGCACACTTTGTCAAAAATCTGTTACTGTCTAGAGATGTTTTTAAAAAGAGAGAGATACAGAGGCATGAAGTACCAAGAGTGGGGGAAGGGTTCAGCTGACAATGGGGAGCAATGCAGCAGACTCATCACAGGCCTCCAGATGGCCCCAGTAAGGAAACAAGGCCTTTGGAGGGCGTCAGGGCTCAGCCATTCCTCACCAGCCTCGCTAGCACATGAATGCCCACACATATTTGGGTTTACCAGCTGGTCATCTGAGGAACCCCAGGAGCCCTTAAGTGCTCAAAGGCAGAAGGAATGATACACACCCTCAAAGTCTCAAGAGGGAACTTGAGAGGCTTTGAGCCCTTAAGTGCTCAAAGGCAGAAGGAATGATACACACCCTCAAAGTCTCAAGAGGGAACTTGAGAGGCTTGTCCCCCATTCCTCCTTTGTCTTCCCAACAGGTTATGATAACATGCCAAAAGTCAAGAACTGGGACATGGGAGACCAGGGTTCCCATTCTATTTGTGTCACCTTTCCTGAGCCTGCTGAGCATTTGGAAGGAGAGTTTCCATTTGTGTACAGTCTAGGATGAGAGCGTAAAACCCTGAGATGACGTTCCCAGAGTGGAACTGTGCAGGGATTCAATCTGAGGCACAGTCAGGAAATGTGGCTTCCAGGTGAAAAGGTATGACTTCTTCCGGATCCCTCTGAGCTCCCCATTACTGCATCCGTGCCCCTTTCCAGTAATGAACCAGGGCCAGCCACATCCTGCCCCTTCCAGGAACAGCTTCTGTCTGCCTTTCCTGCTTACTCCAGAGCCTTTTCTTTCAGCCCTGAGTGCCAGCCCCAAAATGTCATGCACATGGCTTCTCCACAGCCATACACTGCTGCCCCCACCACTCCCCAAGCCTGGACAGTAGACTACCTGGAAATAAGGATCACACTTTGTTTGGCATTAGCCTGAAGAAGAAGGCCCACCTCTATGATGTCTGAGGTCTTTCTGGGAGCCCTGAGGAGCAGCTTTTCAGGACTGCCAGGGATTGGGCAGCCTAGAGCAAGGTCTTTGTGCTGACTTGACTCCAGTCCTTGTGCTGAGCCACAAGCCCTGAGCCTGCAGTGGTGTGGTGAGGGGGCATAATTTCAGGCTCTGCAAACCCTTCAGCTAGAGCCCTCATGCAAGGCTTGGTCAGTAAGGGTCAGTAAGAATATCTGAGGAGACCTGGCCCACCTGGGCTTGAAGAAGGTAGGAAGTACCAAATCTACTGTGGCCAGTCCCAGGAGTGAAGGAAGTCTGGGCAGTCAACTTTAGATCTGTGTATTATACACTTATGTTGTGTGGGGGTGTCAGAAGGTGTACAGGCATGCATGTGGGGGAGGGGAGGACAGGGGTATATGTATGAAGAATGTGTGAGTAACAGGGTCTGGAGTGGGATGAACTGAGACTCTGGCTTTATGATAACCATGGAGAAGGATGGGAGACGCTGTGTACCCAGACAGTGTTCCTGATTCAAGTCCCACCACCTGGATCAGTAGGATATCTGATGTCCTCCCTGACTCTGGTCTTCTCAGGGTGCTAAAGTCAGCATTACTGGAGGGTGGTGGCTGCCCCACTCAGTTTCTGTTTGTTTGGAAGGCTGCTTTTGCCAGCAGCTCCATCAGTCAGGGACTCAGGACCACAGAGAATACCCTGGCATAGTCATTGTTTTGCTCAGAGACAAGAAGAGCCTGGCATCTTATCAGTTTTCAGAGGGAGGGTATGGAAATATAGCCAGGAACACTAGTGCCCAGTATGTGCAGAGCAGCCACTGAGGTTTGCAGACAAAGGCCTAGCAGGTGCATGGGATGTACTCTCCCCTCCCCGACAGCTTGACTTCTCCCAGTGTTCCTGAGCAAGCTGCAGGTTACCCTGTGAGCCTATAAATCCCTTTAGGCCTAGACTCAGATCCAGGGTGAGTGCAGACTGACTGGTCCTCATTCCATCAGAGCCCAGAGTTAAGGGCCAAGGGACCAGGCTTCCTGGACCCTGTCGCAAGTTACCAATTACAGGAACTGGGAATCTGTGAGGAAGAATCTGTGAGCCTGGGAGGTGCCCTCTCAATTCAAATGCTTCCTTCCTCTCTGCTTCCCAGGTTTTACCTCCAGGGACAGAGGGAGTTTTTGCTCAGATACTTTGTGGTACTCTACTTCCAACACTGCTTTAGAATTAGGGGGGGGGCTCTAGGAAGGCCTGCTTGGGGCTCACCTAGAGAAGGCTATTTCTCAGCAGGCCTCGATAGCACCCTCTCTGATTGTTTGTGCTCACACACAGACACTGTGTGACCCCAAAGATCTGAGCAGAGGAAGCAGGGCAGCTCAAAGGGGGATGAGAGAGAAGTACAGAGCCTTCCCTGGGTCAAAGGCCTGCACTGCTAACCTTCAAGGGTCTAGATCCACGGGTCGTATAGACAGTTACTCCATGTCTGAGGACACTGAGGTGTGGGAGTGAGTGGGTGTTGACCTGTACAGGCCACACCCTTGCAGAAAGGCTTCCTAGGCCCTGCTGTGATGATAAGATAGATGGATAGACCTTTGTCAGTTAGGAGTCATGGAGCACACGGGGTGAAGCACATGCTACAGGGAGGCATGTGTCATCTGAGGTCAACACTCAGAGAGTCCTGGCCACTTCCCAGAGAAAATAGCTAGTCCAAGGCTGACCCTTCCCGGAGGCTGACTTCTGAGTGCTAATTTGGCCCTGGTCCAGGCTACCAGCATCATGTTTGGGGAAAGTGCATCTTGTCTAATTTTGTTGCTAAAGATTCAAAGCATAGTACAGAAAGGATAGGGCAGCTGAATGCTGGGGCACGGATTTGTAAACTCAGTACTTAAGAGGTAGAGGCAGGAAGATCAGCAGTTCAAGGCCAGCCCCGGCTACATAAGACTCTGTCTTAAAAATCTGAAATCTAAATAAAGCTGAAAGGACAATGGGCTACTTAGAGGCACATGGCAGCTAAGGCAGAAGCCAGGAGTGGAAGGCTAGAAGGGTAGAGTTAACGCTCCCACCAGGGGTGCCACTTACCTCTGCTGATCCTCTGCTTCTCACCAGAGAGGATCCCCGGTGTGTCGATGACACTAATACTTTCTAGCACAGCGTTGGGCAGCTGGGCACACACAAACCTGCACAGATGGTGAGATGAAAGCTGTGGTAAGCCACTGAGACATCACTGGCTCAGCCTCAAGGGTTCAACCACGGGCTACAGGGTCCCAAGCCCCATGATGTGGGCCTGCTAAGTATGATAGCTGACCCCGGGAGTGCGTTATGGTTTCCTTTCCACCTGCTACATCCTGTTTTGGAGTGCTTTGTATCCAGGGTGCTTGGTAAAATGCTGGCTGGCCACTAGGGCTACTCCATAGTGGTATGCCATCCCCCATGTCTGTCCAAAGCCTTGGCTTAATGCTTGTGGCCCCAAGTCATTAATGATCCCTGGCCAGCCTGGGAAAGCTTTACTTAGCTTGGGCAGCTCCTGATGATCAATTAGAACTCTACCTCCGCAACACAGTGTTCTCAAATCTCGAGGTCTGCAAATAGTTAGGGTATGGGAATCCTCCTCTGATTGATGCTTGGTAGACATCCCTGTGTATCTTGCATGTGTTGTTATCTGCAAGCCTACATGAGACACTGAAAGCGATTGCAGTATAACTGGAAATCTGTTCTTCCAGGAATTCCCAAGGTGATCCTGAGGCAGCCTGGGCTCATACTCTGAACCCCTAGTGTCAAGATCCCCATGAAATACCATTTTTTATCCTTGCCCCTGGTGGAGGCAAAGATGCTATCTGTACAGCAATGAAAAACCAGGGTGCAGAGGGGCCAGCACCTCAAAGTTGGAGAAGAGTTTATTAGAATCCAGGCAGAAAGATGGCTTTGAGGGAGGGCTTCCTGGGGGAGGTAGCATTGAGGCTGTCCTTGAGAGATGGGCTATGCCTCTCAGGAGTGTGTTATCTGGACATCTAAAGGGCTAGCTCATCCAGACAGTGCTCTAGGATAGCTGTCCAGCCTTACTCAGGAGGAACAGGGATATGTGCTGACAATGTGTGAAACGGATTCTCCTTGGTACAGGAAGGTGACCAGGAATCTATGGCCAGCACCAGACAGATGAGTGGTCATGACCGGCAGGCCCCAGGTGTCCCTATCAGCTACTGTCTTAGTGGTGAGTGCACAGTACCTGCTCCTCCCTGTGCTCTAGTTAGAGATCCCTACACTGAGCAGCTTTCTTTCATCCCTCTCTGCTTGTATTCTTTCTCTTCAGTTTCTTCTTCCTGGAATGCTCTTTGTTCACCCTTCCATGGTTATCACACCCATAACTTTGTGCCCACGTCAAATGCCAGCTTTTCCACACAGCCCCTGAGGACTACCCTCCTCTACTGGGAGGCATCTTCCAGCAGGTGCCTGTGGACTAGACTCAGTCCTCTTGCTGAGCTCACCCAAGCTGCTGCCTCCAAGGCCTGGAGCCCCCTGCAATAAAACATGCACTCCACCCTCTGGCATTGGCATTGTGCCTGGGGGATGGTGCAGCCCTGAAGGCTACCCTGCCTCCTTCCCTCCAACCTTGCTTCACCAGAGCAGGACCATACAGGTCCCTGTGGTCACGAATCCCGAAGCAGGACCTCACCTGGGTCTGCTTTCCCAGGCTGAACATTTTAATCATCAAAAGCACAGATTCAAAGAGAGAAGGCAGGCACTTTAGAGGCACTGCCTCCTGTGTACTTCCCCCCAACCCCAAACAACAGCTTCACACACATGCTCGCTATAAATGGCTGTCAGAACCTTTTAGTCTATATTCTACTGTTTAAAAAACGAAAACACTACAGCGAGACAGACAGTGAAATGGTGTCTTCCCTCATCCTTCTCCCCGTCACTTCCTACTGAGAAATTCACACAAGTACAGCTACCTGCTGTCTATATGCTTTTCCTCTCTCAAGCTCTTTACACACTTGCAGGAAGAGAGCAGGGCCCAGAGTTTTTGCAACTTGCATTTTGTCATCTTATGGATGAAGACAGCGATACTGCAGGAGTTTGTCCATGGCTACACAGACTTCACACCACACACACACACACACACACACACACACACCAAGGGTTTCAAAAAGTCTAATCACAGAGTTAGTGGGACCTGCTGGGTTTGGTTAATGACATAAAGGCACTCCTCTGTCAGGAATGTGCTGGCTACTATGGTAATTACACACATCTGTTATCATAGCTGACCGTATGTCATTACATATAGATACTACTATCATTGTAAGCAGTTATCTTGAAGGAGGACTAACTACTAGCCTTGCCCTCCATCTCTTTTGATGACTGACTCTGTGTACCCCTGGTTCTTCTCCCCCCTTATCTGGAAGCCAGCTCCTCTTTGACTCAGAAGAATGAGGCTGCTTAGCTGACTCACAGTCACTACTGCAAACTGCGGCATCCAAAATGGAGTGCATCGTGCCTCCCAGCCCAGATGCCTCAGTCACACCTCCTGACTCATCCTTTTACATCATGTTCCCTCAACACACAACTATTTTGTGTTTAGTATCCCATGTGCCTCTCTTCACCTTTATCTGGATCTGGCCTTCCTCACTCAGCTCCAGGAAGTAGGAACTTGTGGTCTCAAGGACCTCAACCCAATACACCTCAGTACTGACCACCTCTGTTCATTTTTACTGATTCAATCTTCTTTTCTATGAAGCCACACCTACCTCCTGAGGTTCCCTCACCATCAGACTAACTCCCCAGTGATTTTTCTTGTCCCCCTGGCCCTGTTTTGGAAACGTGTCCTGCCAGTTGTCATTCCACACTGTTTACCAGACCACCTGTCCCTTCTTGTCTCAGAGTATTACGAGTTGCATATCACTATAGGAAAATTTACAGGACAGAAGACACTGAAAATGTTTCTGTATAATAAGCCTCGATTTCTAAAGATGAGTATGGCACCAGTAGGTACCCATTTCTCTCATTGTATAACTAGGAAGTCAGTTTAAAGATTTTTTTAAAATTTAAATACATGTTGTATGTGTGTCTAACATATTTAATTTAAATATGTGTTGGGATATGTGTACATGAATACAATGACTATGGAGGATATGCAGAAGGCAGTACAGGATCCCCTCCAGTGAGCAGCCAGAGGCCGGTGCTATGAAGAGAACTCAGGTCCTCTGCTTTTAACTGCCGAGCCATCTCTCCGCCCAGGAATCAAATTTAAAAACAAAAAAGTGAAAACTCCACCCAGTAACTAACCATTCTACCACAATCTAACATTTCTGTTAGTTGCTATGCACTGGGCATGAAGTGTGCTCTGTTCAGTATGCTGCTCACCTCGGCACTGTCTCCTCAGAGATGTTATTACTACTCTAGATTAAACCCAAGCAAAGCAAGACACAGAGAAGGGTGGCAACTTGTCCAAAAGCCACAATTCAAGGTGGGCTCTGGTTCCAGGATCGTCTGAAGCCAAACCCCATAGTCTCTACTTTCATTTGAAATATCTCCAACGAGAAAAAGTAGCCTTGAAATTGAATGCAATGTACATGCAAATTGGATTAATCATATTAACAAGTACATCCAGGGGACCTGTCTGAATTCCAGTTGAGTATGGTTATAATGTGAAAGCCAGATTACCTTGTCCAGCACTCTCTAGAGCAGCGGCTCTCAACCTGTGAGTCCCAAACACTTCAGAGGTCAAACCACCCTTTCACAGGGGTCGGCTAAGACCATCAGACTACATATAAATATTTGCATTACAACTCATAACAGTAGCATGATTACAGTTATGAAGTAACAACAAAAATAATTTTATGGCTGCAGTCAGCACACCATGTGGAACTGTCTTAAAGGGTTGAAGCATCAGGAAGGTTGAGAACCAGTGCTCTGGGCTTTCCCCACTCAAAGCCTCATGATGACCTTGGTATTTTCAGGCTTTAATTTGTCCTAGGGGAAGGGAGGTGACCTTTCAAGGTCACACAGGAGCTTATGAGAACTACTGCTCAAACTCAAGGCCTCTTCTTTAAGACCAGTATTCTTTCCAAGTAGAACACTCAGGAACAAGAAGGAACCTTCTATTGCTCCCTTCTGCTTGGACAAATAATCCCAGGCATGGTGTAAGCTAATGCTGGGAAACATGTAACTTTCCTTTAACACTTTTATTAGGGTAGGGCAGGGTAGGTCCATCTGATCCAGGACTGTCAAATCCTTCTTTGGTCCTTAATCAGGTGGTATCAGCCCGGCATTTACTGCTGTCAAGTCCCATACCATGATGGCTGACTCGGTTACACTCAGGCACCAGTCAAGAAACAGGTACAGAAAAGACACAGAATCTCCCAGGACACAACCCTCTCCTTTTACCCCCTGTGCCCACAAAAGAAGCAAGGAGACGACTCAGCAGTGCACCCCTCCCCAGCCCGACTCACCTGTTGAGGAAGGCATTGCCGAAGGCATTGAGCTTTCGGAAGGGTTTCTTTGGATCCACCACCAGAGCGTTCCCGGGGATGATCCCCTCCACATCCCCCTGCATCACTGCTATGAAGGAATCAGTGGTTGGCTCAGGCCCAATCCTCATGCCTGGAAAATCCTGTTCCAGCAGGTACCTGGAGGAAAGAGTGCAGTCATGTAGTTATGGTGCTCGTAATGGGCCCCTGTTTGTCTACTACACAGTTGGTCATACATGGGTCATGGGAGAAGGGCAGCTCCAGAGCAACCACTGAGCAGAGGAAGCAGGATTTTAGCTGAACTTCACATACTCTGTTTTCTTGGCCCTCTCAGGAGGGGGTGAACGAAAGCAAGGTTTGGGCCATGAAGTAACCCATGGTCTGAAGTTGATTCCTAACTCCAGTAGGACTTGCAGACTTTACAAATCAAAGCAACCAGCTGAGATTTCCATACACAGGCACATAATTAGACAATCCTAGGGCTCTTCTGGCTTCTTAGAAATCATTCATTATATACATATATGTAATAATAAAGAATAAACTATGAAAAATGAATCCCAACTCACCCTAGAGTTTGGTTCCTCTTCATTCTTTGCATTCTGGATCTTCTAGATCTTCTAGAAACATTCCATGTACACATGTGCTATATAGACTTACACATAGATGACTGGAGGTTTTTCATACTATATTTGTATTTATTTATTGTGTGTTACAGTTTTATTTTGTGTGTGTGTGTGTGTGTGTGTGTATGTACATGCTGATATGTGTCACTATGGCTACGTGATAAATCAGAGGATATTTTAATGAGTTGGCTCTCTCCTTCCACTATGGGTCCTGGGGATTGAGTTTAAGCCTTCAGGCTTGGTGGCTGGAGTCCTTACCCCCTGAGCCATCTCCCTGGCTCTAAATGAAGTTTCTAAGCAGTTTACACCTTCCTTCTAGTCATTATCCTATTGATGCAAGCTTCTGGCATAAGACTATATTCAAGACACCTTGTGTTGTACTTGCACAAGGCACATTGTCTCCCTTGCATCCTTAAGCATTGGGCAGTTTTATCCCCAGTATTTCAGTTCATGGTGAGGTTGCTGGGTTGAGATTTTAACTGTGCCTTTTTTCTTTTTAAGTGTTTGTTTTTTATCTCTGTACCTAAAGTGGAGTAAATCAAAATTTACCTTTTATGTACTGATGCTTTTCAATTGCACCTGACACCTGCACACACACACACACACACACACACACACACACACACACACATCCTGCCCCCAGCTTGAGAGTTAGTAACCACAGAGGATGTTGTGCAGCCCACGGGTAGGAATTTACATACTCTGCAGTGGTTATGCAGATAATAGTCGTCATTGGTTTCATTTTATGCTTAACACATTTGAGAGACAGCAATCCAGATTTACTTTATCCTTGTTAATAACTATGTAGAACTCCATTATATGAATTACTACATTTTTAAGTGAAATTCCTATTGATATCTGGTAGCAGCTTCTATTGTCTAGAAGGGAGAAAAATGGTGGCACAGGATTGACACATTATCTCAGTGAAAGAAGGGAAGGAGGGGAAGAGGTGTTGCCTATTTTTATGGGGTGGTTTTTAACACGCTCACTTTCTACTTCCGGTACTTGAGTCTGCTCATGCCAGGCCCAGGCAGGCCTCTTCCCTGCTCTGAACCTCATGATCTAGGAGACTGGCCAATGTGATCTTCAGAGTTTCTTTTGTTTCCTGGGCTACTGTGCCAGGAATGGACTTCTGAACCATTTATTTTCATCCCTGATGATGGCACTCCTGAGGGAGCAGGAGGATGGTTGCTTCTGAAACTCTGACAGTATCATAGCATGACAGGTACCTCTCTGCTCTTATTGCCTGGACAGCAAGAGCTTTAGGCCACCTGCCTCCCCAACTCTGTTGCCCCTTGTAGAGGCCAAGAGAAAGGGTGTATGGTTAGCCAGGAAGTAGTCATTAAGGCTGATGGACAACAGAGCCCTTTAGGATCCTGGGTCAAGTTTGAACACCAACAGTGGGGGTCTGGACTGAATAATGGTGCATGGATCTACCCTAGGGTAGGGCTGGCCAGAGTACAGTCCCAGAGCATCTTTGCTGGGCACTAATGGATGCTGCCTGAGAAACACAAACCTACAAAGTGAGGGCTCAGGAATAATGAGAAGCACAGAGGCCTAGCTTCTTGGTCTTTAGTACTAGCTACGTATTCATGATCTTTGAGGAGCATCAGCTGATGGATTTAGGGCTCTACTCTGATGGTTCTAACCTGCTTGGTCAGGGACAAGACCTTAGCAATGCTACTCTTTATAACGTTCCCGCCTGATTCAAACACATCCAGGGCATTAGAGCAGGCTCCATATTAACCCTGACATTGTCTTAATAATAACCGCTGACATATAATAGCAATTCTGAGTGTTACATTTTATTCTGAAAGTCTGGTAATGCTGTCTTTTGTTCCCTATAGGCTCCAAGGAAGCTGAAAAGGGTTACATGGTTTTCTCAAGTAATGGGGCAGGAACCCATGCCCCCAGCGGGGAGACATTGGTTCTGATCTTCTCCCATCTTTGACTCCTCTGAGAAATCACCTCCCAGAAAGCTGACCAAGGCCCAGCTCTGGGGCTAGAGGTCCAGTCTCCTTGGCTCAAGTTTGAACTCCTTGCCATCTTTTGCCTCTCCAGGGTGGGCAGGATTCAAAGAGACCTGCTGGGTTTCTTCTGGGTCTCAGCAGGCTATCTGTGCCTTCAGAAAGCGTTTGGAGCTGTACTCTATTCCATGGTTCCTGGGCTGGGTTGCTATGAACTCTGTCCCCAAGGAGCCTGTGGAGCAGCTGCAGTAGCCTCAACCCCAGAGGAAGCTGTTGATGTTCTCAGAGACTAATTCTACAGCAGCAGGGAGGGGGAGCATGTCTTGGGTTGCCTTGGGGATCCCCTCAAACCTCTCCCATCCTGCCTAGCAACTGGGAGTCTCAAGAAGGATTTCTTCCAGTCAGAACAACATTTTGAGAGCTTGTGCTGGAGCTGTGATCAGAAAAAAACAAAGCCACATAGAAAGCACATAGGACTATGCTTTCTGCTTTCTTGGTGATCTTTTCTCTTGGGGACTTCCTGAGTGAGACAGGACCAAGAGCTCTCTGACTATGAGGCATATGCCCTTTAGAAAGTACTTATTGTAAACACCATGGCCTCAGCACCTCCCTCCATCACACAGGGAATTACAGTTCAGGCTTATGTCTTGCCTGTCATATGCCAGACACCGTTCTAAATGTTCCATCTCATCTTCTGTTCATATCTACCGGGCTGTTAGCGTGGTGATCCTCCTTGTCAAATGCACCTAGGATGGTGGTTCTCAACCTTCCTAATGCTGTGACCCTTTAATACATGTTGTCTACGACATGCACATATATGATACCCTTCATGTTGTGGTGACCTCCCAACCATAAAACTATTTTTGTTGCTACTTCCTAGTACTTTTGCTATTGTTATGAATTGTAATGTAAATGTCTGTGTTTTCTGATGCTCTTGGTGACCCCTGTGAAAAGGGCTGCTCAATCCCCAAAGGGGTCATGACCCACAGATTGGGAATTACTCACCTAGGGAGTAAGTCCGCCTTGTAGACTGTTCTGGGAGTTAAATTAGTTACATGTGCTACATATTTAACTGGTACCCTTTATGGACATCCTTTCTCATTTTAAAGGGGAAGAGACCAAAGTCAATTTGCCCAATGTACACGTCAGTTAACAGATAGCCTAGGATTTGAGCCTGGCATTTGGATTTAAGAACTCATGCCTTTCATCACCATAGCCACTGTCTCCTTTCAAGACCTAAGCCTCCTCCAGGAAATGCAGCCACCTCTGGGGACTGGCCCACAATGATGCTCCCCATCCCCATGTGGAACTAGAAGCAAAAAGTGATACAAGCTCCAAAAGTATATCAAGAAGCTGGTTAGAGCCAGGGCCTGGGGCAAAGAGGAGGCACTGAGACCCACAAATTCGAGAACACATGTCTCCAGAAACAGCCCCTGGCTGCACATTCAGCCTCAGTGACCCCATGTGTATGCATATACATGTGTATGCATATGATATATATGCATATGCTCTTGCTGTCAGATGGCAGGAGCAGGTCCTGACCCTGTGGTTTTCAAAAGGACACTGAGAAACAGTAAGGCTAAATTCCCTGTGAGAAATCTGTGTACTGATTTGGGACAGTTGATGTTGGCTACTCCGTCCTATGCAGACCCATAGAGGAGGTGTAGTGGAGTGTGGATGGGGACAGCTGAACTAGAGGGATGGAAAGAACGATTCTGAGGCAGCCTCAAAAATGCCCAGAATGAATGAGGCCACAGCAGCAATGAGCTAATGTTCTTTAGAAGGCGTCTCAGATTCCAGCTCTGGAAGACATGCTGTACTCAGCAGATGAACAAAGGGTGACACTGCCCAGCCTAACAGGACAGCTTCCTGGGGAGTTGTGGAGCCACTGCCTGAGGTGGCTGGGCAAAGGGCTCTGGGCTGGGTCTGCTGGCTTCTTACACTCACAGGACCCAAAACTTGCTGACCTTGTATGAGTCTGGGGAAACCCAGAGACTAAGGAAGCCAAGAGCATGCCCAGAGGCTACAGTCAGGCCAAGCAGGGAACTGGATGGGATAAATTCTCAGAGACATTTGGGTATGGCTTGTGGCATCGGGTGCTCCTCAAACAAAGCCACCACTGTGTCCAGAAAGGAAAATCTATTGAGGAATCTCATGCACTACTTCTTTACAGGGTGTGGGACAGATCGCCTCTGTTCCTGGGCAAAAACATTCCCACAGCTGTGTAAAAAAAGAAAAGTTAATTCAAGCCTGGGTGGGACCAGCTGAGATGGGGACACATGAAATAAGGAGGGACAGAACACTCCTTATATTGTGTTTATGCTTATTCTGTGATTTGAACTTCCTCCCATGTAATCAACCTTACCTGCATGACATGACAACATTAATTCAGTTTTGCAACAGAGTCAGCTAAAAAATAGCATGTTCAAGTTCAGGGTCAACTTTGAGGTCCAAAACATTGAAAGGATTTTGGTGTCTCCCTTCCCTTGCTATCCAATGCAAAAGAAATAAAGGCTAAACCATAAAATATGTGTGGGGAAATTCAACACAAATCTGATTTTTTCCCATG